CACAGTTTCATCATGGTTGCAGAGTCCCAGGCAGCACAGGTTGACAAGAAAACATTCAGATGTAGCATGGTATTGTTTATTCCCATTTGTTTGTTTTTCAGTCAGCAAAGAAAGGCACTTGTTGAAGCACCTCAGAAGAATCCCTCTCACACCTCCTTGGTCATAACTGCATCACATGCCCAGGCTTAAACCAATGGTAAGAAGAAAGGACCCATCCAGACTGGCTCATCTCAATCATGGTATTTCCCCTTGAGCTGGAAATATCCTCCTGAAGGGCATAGCCAGGAAAAAGAAAAGATACCCGAACAAAACTCATGATTTGTTACAGTGGGGGGTGGAAATAGGGTTTATAAATGTTTGTTGATGGGAACATGGTGCCCTGTATGGTTTCCCTTCCGCATTTTTATTCACTTGACCTCCTTCTTACTCAGCCTGAGTGTGGGATGAGGTGGGGAAAAGAAGAAATTAGGATTAATGCATCAGGAATGTAAAGAATGTTGGTTTTTTTTGTTTTAAAAGAACATTTCCAAAACAGGCTTAATAATTAAATGATATGCCTTCAGCAGATAGGTTATTTATGTACATGATCAGGACTAATGTTAAAAATATTTAGCCACTAGAACCAAATGGGCATTGGACATTCAGGACAGACTATTTATTGCCCAATCAGAATGGGCAGGCTGAGAATGGGCACCAGAGCTGTGCTGGTGCAAACCAGCTGAATGTTGACACGGTTGACAATTAAAAAAGATACCAAAGGGTGGACAGTGAAACGTGAGCCTCACTCCCATTCCATCCCCCAGCTTCCCAGTTCACTTCCCCAAAAGCAACCACTCTTTCCAGAAAAACAGACTGTTGAGGCTCTGTGGTAAGACAAAGCGAGGCTTTGTGAAGACAGAAATTAATTTTCTGAATTCACTTATCTCCTCCTTTTAGTACATTAATTGCCTGGCCTAGTGGACTTGGTTGGAGAGTTTTGCATATGGGAGGGCCCAGAAGGCAGTAAGTGGCAAGGGGGAAAGGTCCACATCCAGTCCAAGGGATTGTGGTTGGAAAAGAAAGGAGGAGTAGGGAAAAGGTTAGGTTGAGGGGAGTGCTGGGGGCCTGGGAGCTGAAAGCACATTACCTTATAGGTTGTGCAGAAGCAAACTAGGGGTCAGCACTACATGCAAAGTCAGGGACACAGAATGGCTAGATGAAATGATTCTCCCTCCCAGGCTGGGAGAGGAGAGGGCCCCAAGGGATGCCACGGATGGTGGCTATGTTGAGAGCAGAGCCTGAGGGCCCTTCCTTGTTGAGGGTCAAGGAATTCGAAGAGAATTGTGACAGAGCTACAGAGGGCTCTACGGTGTTGGTGAGGCTGAGTCAACCAGGGTACACACGACCGCGCCTTCACCCAGCTGAGTCAGGCAGAAGTAGCCTTTACCAACAGCTACCAGCAGCAGAATGTCCGGAACACAACGCATCTCAGAGTGGAGCCAAATTAGCCTCCCTGCAGAATAGGCCAGCAAGAATTCAAAGGAGACCTTGCAGATGTCAGGACCCGGGTTCTCCAATAGTGTCTCAAGTTCATGTCAGCTACCCCTTGTCCTCCGTCTTATCCTCCCAGATGCCATTTTGAGGGGAGCAGACTGAGAGAGATGGGATATTAAAAGCTTAAGTGTTTTAACCTAAATGTAAAGAAACTGATTACATTATGGCAACAGAGTTTAAACTAAAAAACATTTAGAGTTTTTCCCTTACTGCCCAAAGGCTGTATTTTATTTACACAGCTGAATGTATTTTGAGTAAATCTGTGACACTGCCATAAAAATATCATGTAATTTTTCATGTGAAATGCTGCCAAGAGAGAAAATTATGTCTTTTGGCTATTATGGTTTATTTGTCTAAGCTTAACACTCAGAGGGTAACTACATTTTCCTTATACCCACATTTGTGGAGGATTTCTACATACTATCAACTATATGTATGTAGAAATCCACCAAATAGTATGTAGAAATTCACCAAAAATGTGGGTATAATGACTTCTTAGAATATGAGAAACAATGCAAACACGTTTGGATTAGGGCATGGGTAAAGCTGACATTGTAGAGGAAGAATGAAGCAAATAAAATTAAACTCACAAAATTAATGTTCTGGTTAAAGATTCTCAGTGAGTAAAGGGAAACATTCTTTTTAATAGAAAATACGCTTTCCTGGGTGCCTGGGTGGCTCAGTCAGTCAAACATCTGACTTCGGCTCAGGTCATGATCTCACAGTTTGTGAGTTTGGGCCCCGCACCGGGCTCTGAACTGACAGCTCAGAGCTTGGAGCCTGCTTCAGGATCTGTGTCTCCCTCTCTCTGTCCCTTCCCTGCTCTCACTCTGTCTCTCTCTCTCTAAAATAAACAAACATTAAAAAATTTAAAAAAAGAAAAAGAAAATACACTTTACTTCCTAAAGTGGTCAAAACGAGCAAAATATGATTGGAAATACATCAAAAACGTGAAGTTTGAAATCCAAGAACCATTTTATAAGTAAATTTGAAAAGTACCTGGACTAATGCTATTTGGTGTCTCTCCTGTCAACACCTGTTTGGTGTTTCTCCTCCCAGGAAATCTGAAGCTAAAATTAGCTCTCCTGCTCTGCTTCCACTGTTCCTGCTAGGGAGGAAAATGTTGTAGTTTGGTAAAGGGAATTAGCTGTTCATTGGACAATTCAGTAAATATTATTCTATGAATTGTCATATTAAGATGCATAGTGAGACCCACTTCCTCCATCAAGTTTTCTCTAAGACCATACACATCCAGTCATCCCACTTTTTATCCTCATTATAGTCACTGTTTATGAAAAACAAAACTTCGGCAAATACCATTTTTTTTGTCCTTTTATTTCATCAGACACCCAAGAGTGTAAACTAGTCAAGAGCAAAGTTCAAGACACCAGCATAATAACATCTAACAGTTCCAAGGACAATGGCTTCAGTTTATGATTCACTTAGACTGTAGTGGAGAGCCTTAACAAAGCAGGGTAAGGATAATTTTCTTTTCTTTTCTGAAACTAATTGAGGATGCTCTATAATGTTCCAGATTTTCCTTAGCTCCTTTCATGCGGTTGTGATCCCATCCAGATGTATCTGGCTCATAAACAAAAATATAAACATTTACACTAGTGAATAATGATGAAATGTTTAGATCCATGTTTCTACCTCACTTTTCTTCAAAGGCATCAGAAAACAAGGTGTTGGGTGGTGGAAGAATGCATCTGCGAGAGTAACCCGTCAGGCTGTGTTAAGGGGGAAAGTTCAAACCCTCTCAGGGGAGCTTATTATTTAATTTTTCCTCCTCAAAGGATCGAAATTGCAGAACGGATATTTACTTGTTTCGTAACACATCTCGACATGATCAAAACATTTTGTCAGGGACAAATAGTAAGGTCCATACCTTTAACATTAGGGAATATTTCTTGAGGAAAAATTCCTGGAAAACCCAATATATTTGATAGAAGCGGCGAGAAATGGTGTCCCCGCTAGGGGGAGACGTGGCGGGGGGGGG